GAGGGAACCCGGCCTGGTCCCACCGCTGAGTCTTCTCATATAGCTCGACATGATGGGGGCACCGTTAACACAGAGGCACAAGGCGTAGACCTCGCTGTCGATACGGCAACAGGTCCCAGCAACACCTACGTCGCCGGCCCAGCAGATTTTCCTTGGGCCAGCCATGCCGCAGAGTCTGCTTCTCCCGGACCGCATGCAAATGACGGCAGCCAAGGTCGGGTTATAGGCATTGCCACAGGGCGCCCACGCCCCCACCAGGAACCTCAGAGCCTTGTGACCGGGGACTGCGAGCGTACACTTGCGCTCGGAATCCTTATGCCTGATTTTGCCCTTGAAAATGTCTGCCTGCGGGTCGTCCCGCCGGCTTCGGAGACACAAATCCTATCAGCTGTGCAGTGGGCCCGACACGCAGGCCTTGCTAGAGCGTTTCCCAACCTTGTGCCTGTCAGCGCACAACCCCACGTTGGCTGGGGACTCTTGCTTGCCACACCAGCCTGGACAGAGGATTGCATTGTCATTTGCGTTGATGCCTACGAGCTGAAGGGACGTATCTTTGCAGCCCTGTCGCCTCCCACTGCAAGTGGCGCATTGCTCCTCGATATGTTTTGTGCTGACACTGACCCGCGCCCTGCTGTCTATGTGGATGGCACGGGCCCGCTGCTCCCACATGAAGAGGCCACTCTTATTTCTGGGACAAGTGTCCAATTCGTCCGTCGCGGCTCGGACAGACCAGGACCACTGCGCTTTGCAGATGTTGTGCGCTCGCCGGAGTCATGGTCCTTGCCACCTGCATTCCCCAGCAGATCCTTTCGGGACAGATATTGCCTAGTAAAGGAAGATAGCTGTGCCACATTTCATCTGAGAGGCCACCGCTCCACCAGGTACCGCTCTGACATCGCAGCTGAGGTAGGATGTTCTGAGTCTGAGCTGCTCCTCTCACCTGGACTGCCCAGACCGCCGAATGTGTCAGTCCTGGGACAACGCTGCCACACTGTTGTCATTGCTCTTTCGTTTGGCGGTCTTGCCCTTAGCACCCAGCCAGTTGCCGCCCTCATTGATGCCCGCCGAATCCTTCGTGGATGGATTCCCGTCCTCACTGTCGATGGCTGGCTGGACTCCGTGCCCCCCCTTAGGGCTCTTGGTGATGGCCTGCCACAGGGATGGCATGTTGTGTTCCAGGGTCTTCCCACAGACATTCGTTGGGTCAATATCCAGGAGGGGCAAATCTTGATTGCACAAGCACGGTCTGCTGCCGCCCCACCCTCGGCCCCTTTTCCCGAGAGGAGCCCCTCCCAGGATTCTTCTGAGCCAGAGGGAGAGGGCGAGCCTGATACTGCCGAGAATCTGTTCCGCTGGAGGAGTACGCCTTCCACAGCTCCACGCCACCAGGCTGGAGCCCCCGTTGACAGAGAGCACTCCAGGCACCGCCCCGTCCAGGCCCAGGATATGCGCTCTCGCACAGCTCCTAGCCACACGAGCCTTAGAAGGACCCGATCGAGATGCATGTGGTCATGCGGAGTTGCAGCTGAAGATGCCCGACCACCGGGCAGCCGCGTCGCCACCCCTGCTACCCTCTCGGGTTCAAGAAAGCCCGGCCCCCACCGCCACACACGCCAGGCCGTCTCTGGAATCACATGGTGTATCACAGATGATCGGCCACTTGCCACTGGGATTGCACTTTGTCTCCTCGGGGCATCCAGTGTTCTTGCCTCCTTCGGGGCATGTGCAGTGCTCCTCCTCGCTGTCACCGCATGGATGAGAAGAGGAGTGCTACGAGCCACTAGAGCTCCTGTACCGTGGCTCGTACTTTTCCTTTTGTGTTTCGCGCTGCTCCCTCGAGCTGGAGCAGCTGCCACCCTGATCGGACCGCGTACCCGACAGACGGGTGCTTGTGTGGACACCACTGTCCCAGCGCACTCACCAGCCTACCCTCCGGCTTTTGGTGCTCGAGGCGTCCCCACGCCCGTCCGATCTCGGCATTGGCTGGTTGCTCATGTTGCTTCATCCCAAACCGACCTGCGCAACCTACAAGCAACTAGCGAATCCACCAATGCAGAAGAGGCGGTTCGAGATGACATATCATCATGGCATTTGAGCACTCTCCTAGAACAGTGTGCCATCGAGTCTGATCACTGGGCTTTCCAGGCTGCCACACTCCTGGATACCCTCTTTGATCACTTTGGGCCTGCGCTGTCTTCCACACAGACGTACAGCGACCATGATTCAGCGATTTTGCCTTCTGTCCTCAAGCTCGCTCCCCTTCTTCCTGCTGGAGTCGAACACGACCTGTCACATGTCTCCTTCGACTGTGGATGCTGCCTGGATGAGGCCATACAGCTGCTGCAACCAGGTTGGGAGCTTGAGACCCCCCTACCTGCTCACGGCCTGAATGGGGCACTCTCCTGCCACCCGGCACGGACCTTGCCTCACTGCAAAGCATCGACGTGTACACAGATGGCTCCTTCGATGGTACTACCAGCTCATGGGCCTTTGTTGCCTTTGGGGCAAGAGACTGTTGTCTCTATCTCATTGGCTGGGCCGGAGCACGTGTTGACACTCAGTCCGATGCTTCTCTCTACATTGGAGCGCAGGCGCATAATGCACTGGTCGGGGAACAAAGTGCCCTGTTTTGGGCCCTTGCGTGGATCCTGCAGACACCACCAGGTGTGCAGGCTTGTGTACACGCAGACTGCCTGGTTGCACTTCGACAGGCGACAGGACAATATGGGTCTGCCCTACATGAATCAGATTGCCTGGTTTCTGCCGCCAAATTTGCCAAGCAGTGCAGACGGCCCACCCTTCTTTTGACTCTGATATCAAACATGTCAGGTCCCACAAAGGCCATTACGGCAATGATCTTGTTGATCTCCTTGCCAAGTATGTGAACCAGATCGATGGCTCTGTTGCCTGTGCTGCCCAACGTACTGCTCCATTCACTAACCTGTGTGCCACTTCCCGGCTGCGCTGGCTATGGGTTGTTCTCCAAGCCACCAAAAACCCTGGAGAATGGCCTAGCCATGTTGGCACCGGCTTCGTGGACAAAGCTCGCCACACAGCACCATTCCAGCTGGCAGCGACCGAGACACAGTCCCTGTTTGGACTTTCCCCTGATGCCCCTGCTGACACCGCTGACCCTACCTTTCGTGCCGACCTGTGTATCTTTACCCTCAATGTTCAGACATTGGCGGAAGCCCCCCCTTCAGGTGCTGTCCCATCCGATGACGTGTTCCAGGGCAAGGCGGCCTTCCTCCGCGAGCAGTTTGATCATTTTGGGGCGCACATCATTGCCCTACAAGAAGCGAGAGGGGCGGGAGACAACACCTTTGTCTCTAGCTCCCACGTCAGGTTCTGTACGGGAAAGGACAGACAGGGTAATTTCGGTGTTGAGCTCTGGTTCTCCCGTTGTCGCTCTTTCGCCACCGCTAGTGGAGTTAAAGTTTGCTTCGCTCCCAATGACTTTGTTGTTCTGGCGTCCACGCCACGAATGCTGTTGGTGAAGTATACACGCGGACCCCTGCGGGTTCTCTTCGCGGTAATACATGCACCCAGCGGCACCAACCCGCAATGCGCTTCATGGTGGCGGGAGCTCCGTCAGACCCTGCACCGGTTTGCACACGGCGTTTCCCTTGTGATGCTTGGTGACTTCAATGCACACTTCGCCGACAGTGTAACTGGGCACGTCGGGGAGCTTGTATTCCCCACCAAGCACCCGGCTCCACCCGCTTTGATAGACATCCTTCAGAACTTTGGACTGTGGCTCCCCTCCACGTTTGGTCACTGCCACCCCGGCCCCACAGCTACATGGTGGCCTCCCAGTGGTGGCAGTGGAGCTCGTCTTGACTACCTGGCAGTGCCTCAGTCTTGGGGAGTCTTGCGTGATGGCTCCCAGGTCTTCTCAGCACTAGAATGGGGGCAGGCCAGGGATGATCATCATGCCCTGCGTACCTGGGTGCATTTCCAAGACAGAGGCTGCTTCAGACCACAGGCACGCCGGCCAGTGTATGACAGGGAAGCCATGCTGACCGACAACGGGCGTGACACTCTTCGGCGCATATTTGCGGCTGCTCCAGTGGTCCCCTGGCAGTGTGATGTGCATTCCCATTACACACGTCTCCAGACATACCTTTCGTCTGCCCTGAGCTCTGCATTTCCCGCAACCAAGGGAAATTGTCGCTCCTCGCACTTCAGTCCCCACACATGGCAACTGCGTCAGCGCAGAGTGTGGCTGCGCCGACAGGTTGTACATCTGCGGGCCTGCGTCAATGAAATGCTCCTCCATTGCGGGTGGCTTACTTGGCAAGCCGGCATCCGAATGTATGTAGCCCAGCTGACCGCTGTTTTGCGACGGGGGCGCCAAATTATCACCCTTAGTCATCATGTCAGCGATCTAGCGGCCACCAAGAAGGAGCTCCCCCTTCCAAGCGCAAGACGCGCCAGGCCAAGGGTCTGCCCCAACTCCAAAGGGCTGATGGCACCGTTGCGGAGACAGCAGATGAAGTGGTTGATACTTGGATTGAGCACTTCTCGGGCATTGAAGGCGGACAGCGCCGTACACCACACGCCTTGGCACAGGCTTGTGTTACGACACAGCAGAACAGAGACCTTGATTGCATCAACCTCACTGCTGCCGATGTGCCCACCTGCTGCGAATTGGAGGCCGCATTTCGTGGCACTCAGCTGCACCGCGCTTTCGGCACTGACTGTATATCCCTGCTGAGGCTCTTCACGCAGTGCCGGGACACGCCGCCCGAGTGCTCTACTCCTTGATTCTTAAATGCACCATGCGCATCGAAGAACCCCTTCATTGGAAGGGAGGTTCTTTATATGCGATATGGAAGGGTAAGGCGGCGCCTCACCAATGCCATGCCCATAGGGGCATTCTCGTTTCATCGGTAGTTGGCAAGGCGTACCATAAGATGCTCAGACAGCGCAATGTGCCTGCCCTTGCCGGTGTAGCCACGGCTTTCCAAATCGGCGGGCTGCCCCAACGCCCAGTCACCATGGCTTCGCACGTGGTGCGGGCTTTCCAGTCCTGGGCTTGTGGTAATGGCTTTTCCCTTGGCATCATTTTCCTTGATTTACGCGAAGCCTTTTATCGTATTATGAGGCCTCTCGTCGTTGGATTTCAAGGTTCGGATGCTGACATTGCTGCGATTGTCAAGGAGGTACACCTTCCTCCGGAAGTGATGCACGAGATCCATGAGTATCTCCAGTCCGAGACTCTCTTTGAGTCTGCTGGTGCCTCCTCATGGCTGTCCGCGGCTACCTGCGAAGCCTTGAGCCATACGTGGTTCCGATTCGAACACCACGAAGCCGTTACGGAAACTGGCATCGGGACTCGTCCCGGCGATAATCTGGCAGACATTGTCTTTAGCTTTGTCTTCGCACGGGTGCTTCACCAGGTGCGTACAGCTGTGGAACAAGAGGTCGGAATCGCCACACTGCCATGGCATTCCGACATGCTTGCCAACCCTTGGCCCGTTTCCTCCACAGCTACGGACTCTCTGGCCATTCTGGACAGCACGTGGATGGACGACACTGCGCTTGTTCTCTACACGACTGTCGCATCCGAGCTGCCGCACAAGATTAAGAGGGCCCTAGGTATTCTGCTAGACAGCTGCCTTGGCCGCGCTTTATTGCCAAATCTCGACCGTGGTAAAACGGAGACCATTGTGTCGCTCACTGGCACCGGCTCCCGCAAGCTCCGGGCTGAGCTTTTCAGAGATGATCCCCCGCTGATTTCAGCCGACAGCCGTCTGTGGCCAGGAGCCACTGTGCAGATAGTACCCCACTATCGGCATCTCGGAGGACTTATTCATCATAGTGGAGCCCTTCTTCGGGAGCTGCGTTGCCGAGTTGCAATGGCATGGCAGGCCTTCAACAAGAGGCGCAAACGCATTTTCTCCTCTCGCTTTGTGCCGGTTGCAGACAAGGTTTCCCTGTTTGACTCCCTCGTGCTTTCCACTTTGCTGTTTGGTGCGGGGACTTGGCCCAAGCTCACGCAAGCAGAAGAGCAATGCCTCTCGACGGCTTACTTCCAGATGGCTTGCACCCTCCTAAAGCCCGAGTTCGACAGTCTACAGGCGCGGCGGATTGGCCAGCTTCGCGTCCTGGCCTTGACGGGACTGCCCACCATCAGCACACTGCTCCACCTGGCACGTCTTCGCCATCTTGCTGCATGTGCCACCAATCCTATCCCAGAACTGTGGGCCCTGCTTCATGCGGAAGCGAACTGGCTAGCCTCCGCATGCCATTCCCTGGAATGGCTCTGTGAGCTCGTCGCCGAAGAGAGCTGGGCCCCGAGTGCCCCAGAAGCCTGGCGTCTTTGGATGGATACCATCCGATGCAATCCTGGGCGCTGGAAGCGTCTCCTGCGCAAGGCCCAGCAGCGAGCTGTTCGCAGGGAGGCCTGGCACTCCGCCGGGGTCTACCATCGAGGGCTCCTCTCCAGACAGCTGCGTATTGCAGGCGGCATCTTGCTTGAACCTGTAATGGAGCTCTGGGACCGCCGGGAATGCTGTGGGCCTTGTCGCCAAACTTTCCCCAATCTCCAAGCCTGGTCTGTCCACGCTTTCAAGACACATGGACGGCTCACCACTGGTAGAGGTGTCCTGAGTGGACGACAATGCCAGAAATGTCTCCGGCATTTTGCAACGAACCTCAAACTCTGCAAGCACCTTGCATATAGTCACCAATGCCGTCGAAGCCTCCAAGTCGCAGGGTACCAGGCCCCAGTCGAACCCGGCCAGGGCAGTACCCGAGGAGAGGACCAACACCGAGTCCAGGCCCCCGTTCTTCAGGCAGAGGGCCCAGTCCTGCCTTTTGACTCGGCCGAATGGTGCGACGAAGCCGACCGCCCAGTTGCTGAGATTTTAGACTGTTTGCGACATGTTGGCCTAGGCATTGCACATGACGATGTCCCCGCCGTTGAGGAGCAGATTCGAGTCGCCTTCGCCAGTGTTTGCGCGCCAGTTCGGCGCTTACGCATTACTGCTCGAGCCTTCCTGGCGACTCAACTGTCGGACTGCCAGAGCCCATCCGACCGATTGTTGCCCGGACACTGGAATGGGTTCCGACGGCTGACGTTGTGGAATGGCTTGTTCCGTCCCCCGATCCGAGTATGGATCCGACATGCACATTCCGGGACGAGGCCCTTGTGTTGGAGGCGTTGGAGGTTGCGGCCATTCGTCTCCCTAGGGCTCTCACTTTCAGTGAAGATCCTACTACGGTCCTCGTCGGCCCTGACGAGTGGTGTCTCCCGTTCGACGATTGCCGCAGGATCCTCTTTCCCTTCTCTGAATGTGTCGCCTCTTTGCGACGGGGTGATCCGCTCTCCTTTTTGGAAGGCCCTTTCGAGGATGTGGTCTTTGAGATTTGCCTGAACGACTGGAATGGATTTCGACAGTGCCCTCCTGTCTGCCTTCCACCAGCAAGCTTTCATCGGCAGCTACTCCTCATGACCCTCCAAGGGGACCTAATGCGTTTCGCCCTTCGACTTTGGGGCCGTGGAATTCCCACTCGACTTCTCTTCCCTGTCAGTTCCCGTCCACATATCTCGCTTCTGCTTGAGATTCCCGGGCTGGACTTCGTGGAGTCGAGCGGTTGGTGCACTCTGAGTAACTGCACGTGAACTCCGGCCCTTGAGTCTTGTCTCACTTTAATTAGGTGCCCGATGGGCCGCGACCGCTTGGAGTCTATGCCCGAAAAGCGTGAAAAGCGTGATATATATATATATATATATAAGACAGACAACTTTGGCCCGAAACCCCGTGGCACGCCGGGACTTTCCCCAATGACCAGGGCCTCCCAGGAAGAGACCACAGCATGCACGATGCCGCTGCGCTTCGCCCGGATCTGTGGACATCGAGTATAAGGCTCCTTAAAGGGATCCTTAAAGGGATCTATCGGTTCAGGGTATAGGGTTTGGGTGATACGTCGTCTGTGAGACCCTCCTGTGATCAAAGCAAATGGGAATGTCCCTCTGCGCCCCATTGAAACCAAAACCCATTTCTCTTGCCTTACATCGGGTGCCATCCACCTCTCAATGGCCCTAGTGTATAAAGCCTAAGCCATTGCGATTTGGAACACTTTCAAGGTAAGTTCAGGATTTCGGGAGAGCACTGGCCCGTCCAAAAAAACCCTCCCTCCACTCATAGGCATACAGCGACAGCACTACTTAAGAAAACATTGGATTAAGAAAATGAGACTCTGGATTTTGCGATTGATAGGGTTCTACATAAAATACCAAGCACTGTTAAAATAAGAAAACCAGCGTACCCTCGTCCGCGAGTCTCATTTTCTTATTTCGTTCTGTCATAGCTGGGTTCTGGAACGAAGGAGAATAAGAACATGCCAGAGTCTCGTTTTCTTATTTAGGTGGGTTCTGGCACGAAGGAGAATAAGAAAATGCCAGAGTCTCGTTTTCTGATTTAGGTGGGTTCTGGAACGAAAGAGAATAAGAAAATGCCAGAGTCTCGTTTTCTTATCTAGGTGGGTTCTGGAACGAAGGAGAATAAGAAAATGCCAAAGTCTCGTTTTCTTATTTAGGTGGGTTCTGGAACGAAGGAGAATAAGACAATGCCAGAGTCTCGTTTTCTTATCTAGGTGGGTTCTGGAACGAAGGAGAATAAGAAAATGCCAGAGTCTCGTTTTCTTATTTAGGTGGGTTCTGGAACGAAGGAGAATAAGACAATGCCAGAGTCTCGTTTTCTTATCTAGGTGGGTTCTGGAACGAAGGAGAATAAGAAAATGCCAGAGTCTCGTTTTCTTATTTAGGTGGGTTCTGGAACGAAAGAGAATAAGAAAATGCCAGAGTCTCGTTTTCTTATTTAGGTGGGTTCTGGAAGGAAGGAGAATAAGAAAATGCCAGAGTCTCGTTTTCTTATTTAGGTGGGTTCTGGAACGAAGGAGAATAAGAAAATGCCAGAGTTTCGTTTTCTTATTTAGGGGGGTTCTGGAACGATGGCTGATCCTGGGGCCTCCATTGAGCCTGATACAGCCTCGTTTGGAGGAAAACTGTTTGAACGAATGTAGAACGGGATACGGTGCTGCATTATGACTGTGTTTGGAGATATATGCCTTTTTTTCAAGATCTTGGGCCTGTTGGGTTTGATGTTTGGGGCAAGTCTTCGCTTGTTCATCTGGGGGTCTTGGGCCCTGGACATAGCTATATAAGAAAACGGCCTTAAGAAAACCAGACTACCCTGACCCATCCCAGATTAAATATTCCCACAAAACCAGCCGCTATCAAAGTAAGAAAACCAGACCACCCTCGTCCCAGAAAGCATTTTCTTATACAGCGCTCCCGCTGTACCCTACAGACACAGAGACACACAGAAGCACACGCGCAAACGTAAACACACACAAGCATGCAAAGACGAACAAGCAAACACAAACAAGCAAGCAAGCAAACTAACAAACAAGCTAGCAAACGAACAAAAAAGCAAGCAGTCAAACAAGAAAACACACACCACACACAATGTACCAAACAGAATATTAACACACTGCGAAAACAGCGACACAAACAAACAAACGCTCAAGACTACATCGCCAAACATGCACGCGCGCAAAATCAGCCGAATGCACAAAACTAGCCACGAAGAACAAAAGCCACCAACACGCTCCTACACACACCTGACGGAATTGTGTGAGGTATGCGGTGTCTACGAAGACAAACTAGGATGACTTTACCAAAGAACGAAGGTGCAGAAGGAGGAGAAGGATTATAGTTGTGAGCAGGCTAGTGGTAACAAAGACGAGGAACATGACCAGCATGTTCAGCAACACCGACATGTGGCAGGATGCCAACAAGATGACGGAGTGACGATAGTCGGATGATGATAGCGATCCGGTTAAGTGTTGATGGCGATGACGGTGGTGGAAGTCTTGATAATGCGAACGATGGCTCTGATGACAACCATGCCGTTGATGACGTTGGTGATGCCTGTAGGAGATGAAAAATGTGAGAGTGTGGGTGCTGATGCTGGTGAGTGTATGGAGTGTTGTAGAACACGAGGGGCGAATGGACAGAACCTGGCTGAACGATTTCCTTGCCAGTAAGTTGTGGACCGGGTTGCCGTCGACATGTCCTTCGGGATCGTAGAGCTCTACAGGATAAACGACGCTGATGATGCTGATGATGATGGCGACGAACACGCCCAACTTGTTGCTGCAAGCTGCCGCTTTGACAGTGTCACCTCGTCTATTAATTGATCGTCCGCTTAATACATTAACTCCCCGCATAAAGATGATGAATTGACGGTGCTTGCTACTGGACGCTAATTGCTGGCAGCCATTGTCGGCAGTACTCGTAAAAGTCTGAGTGCCACATGGATGAGGTGGGAACTTCAAACTAGTGACTGTCAGTGGTAGCATTGTTGCCTCTGTCTGTTGACGTTGCCGCTGATCGCACCGATTCTCTTGTGCTGGCCGCCAGCCCTGCCAACCCTCAAACTCAAATCATCAATCCATCTGAAACCCAAAGCTCAACTAAACCCTAAACCCTTAAATCTATCTGAAACATAAAGCTCAACTCTACCACCTGCCCTTAGCCGAGCCTTGAAGGTATTCTGCGGAGGCACAGAACGCCTGACACGGGACGGCTTTAAAAACAGCACTGGATCATGCTTGAAGTCCTGTAATTGGGTTTCGAGTTTAGGGCAGTTTGGGCTTTAGCGTTCAGGGGTTTAGGGTGTAGTTGACTAAGGGTGTCCAAGATTGAAGCGCAGCCACTGATCGGACCAGGCGAATGCTTTTTCCCTGCATTCGCGCCAGATCAGTGTTCATCTAACCGCAGACCCCTTGAGCGAGAACATGTTTCGTCAGATTTTGGTCAAGACATGCGAAGCAGCAAAGACAGAATCACACCGGTCTACACTTCTTTTGACCAAAATCTTCGGTCCACAGGCCATAGCATAAGAAATGGCCCTCGAAGAGCTGGTCTTTAAGACAATGCTCCAGCTCAGTGAAACCTTGTTCGTTGAGCGTCCACTGTCCATTTGTCATCACAAATCGGAGATAATTGCCACCGGTGTTCTTGGTGAGATTATCGGAAATCATGTTTCGCCCATCAATCCATCGGACAGTTCCGGAGCCTTCCAGGTCACGTTTCAAGATCGACACATCAATGGCCGTTCGTTTGTCATCGACTTGACTGAAAGGACAAGTTTGTTTCGACAAGGTATCGAAAAGGGACTTCGAATCGGTAACAGCTAAAAACGGAATCTTAGCGATTGATTTCTCCCAATCCCGGTCCTTGTCGGGGTCGTTCCGGGCCTCCATCATGATAAAGCGATGCCAGTGGACATTCCCGACACCGGCCACCAAAGCTTGGCACTCAGCCGCCAAAGTATTCACCACTTTCCGCTTCAAGCGGTAACTCTTCCAGCTGGCCACAGACACTGGGGCCCACGGTTCGTACTGGAGGTTGGCATCATGGTAGATCACGATGTGCCCGCCTTGGCTGCTCGTACGAGCCGCCTGTAGAAAGCCCTCGTGGATCGCCTCGTGCTTGAGTTCCTCGGAGCTCTTGGTGAAGACGGTTCGTCCGGTCCAGGTTCCGGCCTCGAGGAGCTTCACCCGGTTAGGGTGGTTCCATTCATCTTTGTGCAGGCTGGCTCCTTCGGAGTTCTGGAGGTAGGTCTCGCGATGTGGTAGTAGCTGATGTAGGTCCGGTCCTCCGGGGGTCATTCCCGGATGGAACAAGGTCCGCCGCGGTCTGGTGTGGTACCGGATCCATTGGTCCGGTGTTTCGACCCAGTAGTCGCTGCCCTTATCTTCGTCCTTGGCCTCCGTCGCATTGCCCCATGAAGCATCAGTCACCACGCTGACCCGCAGCCGTTCCACAGGAATGGCTGAAATCTTGATGCCCGCCGGGAACTTGATGGCCTCTTGGGCCAAGGCATTGGCCTGAAGAAGGTCTCGTACACGAGGTCGTGGAAAGCTCTGCTGCAGCAGAGAGGTCCGTCCACATAGGTCGGGCCGGGTCTCCTTGGCCAACCAAGCCAATGCTCCGACGAGGGAGCGGAGCTCGGCTACCTCGGTCTCGGTGCAGTAGGAGTAGCGCTGGTTCTTTCGCATCCTGGTCACCGGGATGGCCTTGATCTTCTCCTCCACGTAGTGGTCCTGCTCGATCAGAACTCCTCCGTCAGGGAGGGGTTTGAAGTTCTTCCCGGTGAAGCGGCCCTCCCCATACTGAAACTTTCACAGTTTGTACTTCTGGTTCAGCCATTCCATCTTTTGTTTGTGTCGTGCTCCGCCGCCATGAAGTAGATCATCGGTGGCAACTGCCACCATTCCGTCCAGGCTGTCCCATCCAGTCTTCTCCGGGTCGTACAAGTAGTAGATGCACGGGTCAACGACACTTTGGGTGTAACCCAGCTCCTTGGTGAGGAGCTTGTTAAGATGCCGAAACCAGGCCATCGGGCCGTCCAGCAGTCCATAGCAGGTCTTCCGGAGTCGTAGTAGCTGACCCTTTTTGAGGCCAGGTATGCCCTCAGGGGGTTGCTCAGCGTAGATTTCGCGCTCGATTGGGTCGCCGGAGTGGAAAGCCTGAGTGAAGTCAAGGAAGCCCAGCTGCCATCCCTTGCTAACCAGTATCTGCGTCGTAGCCACCACACCGTCCCGGGTGAC